AACTTAGTCGCAGGTGTTGAGCAAGACCCCTACGGACTAAGTGTCGGATCTGACCTGCTGTCACTTCTTCTTGTGCTCTAGGAATCGTAAGTTGTGGTGGTGTAGCTACCTCAAGTTGAACAAGCTCTGCTGGTCTTCTGCCAAATGCTAGTTCAAGTGGAGTCACGCCGCCACATGTGACTGATAGGTTCCTTGCTGTTGCTGCTGCCTTGACAAGCTGTCTGCATGTGACTACCTTCAAGGATGCTGGAGCTATGCCTGTCTTGATGGAATTCAGCGTCAGTGATACTTGTCTCTTGATGAGACGGACAGCTGTCTCTGCTCGATTTTGGCCAAGGTGTGTTGGGACCGAGAGAGATTGGTCTTATGTCAAGACTATTGTAGAATAACTCCCAGGTTGGAGTCATGAATGCTTGAACACATTTTGGCTGCAAATGATATTGGTCAAAGTAGTTGCGCAACAGTGGAATGTTGGATTCTTCAGTCGTTCTCTCCACTACTTCCGTAGTGAGAAGAGTCGTGGCTCCATCAAGGATCGCTAGCACATCGATGTGCTCCTTCGGCAAATGGATTCCGCGGGTCCTGAACTTGAACTGTTCTCGTGACATGTGGTGATGTTTGAGGTGTAGTTTGCGTAGCTCTTCTGGTTTTGCTAGTCGCTTGTGGGTTCGTTGTAGCGCAATTGGTAAAGTTGCTGGTGGTTCATGCGGTGCAATTGATGATGCGTGCGGTGCTGGTGGAGTAGCAGGATCGGCTGGCTCAGTGGCATGCCGGCCTGGTGTGTATGATCTTGTCTGCTGCCGTTTTCGCCTGTAGGTCGTCTGATGAGAGTGGTGTCTCAGAAAACTTGAACATCGTTGAACCGATCCACAACTCTGGTGCCGTCTTTGTTGTTGCCGTCTTGAGTCGCCAATTGTCCTCTACTGTGGATATCGGTTCTTCTGTCTCTGATATATTTTCTTGGTTGTTCTTGTGTTGTGGATCTGTGTAAGCGGAATTGGACAGGTCTTGCTGGTGTCAGGTGCGAATAGTGCTCTCCGCTTGCACTTGTGAACCCTGTGGAGTTCGTGAGCTTTGCTATTGATTCTCCAGCGGTCGTTGTTGAAGTCTCCGATGATCTCTGTGCCATCTTCTGTCGGTGCCTTGGCTGTTGTCTTCTTCTCGGATGTCTTGGCCGGATATGCAGCGGCAAGTAAAGATGGTTGTTCAAGTGGTTTGATCGTGTCGTCATTGACTTCATTTGCTGCTGTTGTGATGTCGTGTTTTTTGCAGAATGCTGCTAGATCAAACATTGCGTGACCACTACTGGATATAGGCCTGGTTGCTTGTACATGCCGAATGCTTGGCATGTAATCTTGTTGCATTGAGGTGTATGCTCAATGGTCATGTGCAGATTTCGCATCTGATCTATGCTCAGCAGGATTGGTACCTGTCCTTGCTCGAGAATGTCTATGTAGGTAACCATATGTGGTTGAGTGTTGAAGTACAGTTGGGGAGTCCAGTCAACCTTGGACTGTTGACCGCTGGCAAAGGTGAACCTTGTGTTGCAAGGGATGAAGTCGTAAGTCATCCGATGCGGGTATGGTTCAACTGCTTTGATGAATCTCTCCACTGCACACCAACGGCCCATGGACTTTGTGCAACCATTGCCAAGGATGACATTCATGGGTCGGATGCGCATGCGGAATCATGTGGTAGGTCAAACCATTTTGGGCGACCCTACTTCTGCTAGCATCAACTTCTTCAGTTGAATTTGCTATGTATGCCTTTGGACCGGTGTGTGTAGAAGGAGCTGTTGCCCCAATCTGCAGACCACCATGTGTAATTACTCCAATCCTCTGGGGCTGGCTCTACCGATGGAATTACAGGATGCTGTGTAGCGTCCTGGATCTTGGTTGTGTGTTCCGTGGCAAAGGTTTTGGACTTTCCTTTTCCTCTCTAGTTGGTGTCCTTGCCGGAATCCTTTCCTTTATAATCCTTGGACTTGTTCCATGATGTTCCTTTTCCTTTCTTGAACCATGGGTTCTTTGAGCCTTTCTTTTCCCAGTATGCTTGATCGGTGGTGATCTCATCGGCCATGTTGGCCTTGCCGCTGGTCGGTGCTTTTCTGAAAGGGTTGAAGCTGCCTCGTCGGCGCTTTCCCTTGCATTTTCCTTTTCTTCCTTTTCCGTCCTTTCCGGGTCTAAGGGTTCGTCGTTTGATCTTCTGTAGGACAAACGCATCATGGTTTTCTAACTGCCAGAATGACTCTTCATCTTCCAGTGGGCACAAACCTTCCACTCCTTCTTCATCTTCAACCCAGAATCCTTCGTCTCCTTCATACTCTCCTGTTTCAAGAATATAGAAGGTTCGGGATCGACTTCCGCCTTTAGGACGGATGTTCGGGTCCTGAGTGGTGGTTCGGGTTGCGATGAACAGTTCATGGTACTTCATATGTGAACTGTGGAAGTTGAACGCCTCGAAGTGACATGGCTGAGATCAATCGTTCTCTCTGGCTCTCTGTCAACTCTCTCTGGATGATGAAAAACAAGGTAAGAAGGTTGTCTGACAACGGAAAAGCCTGTGTATGTTGCGTCTGTTGTCCTGCAATGAATTCTTGTTGGAATTCTGCAGGATCTGTTGGATCCAGGATGACTGGATCTGGGATGATAGGTGCAGCCGCTCCTCGCGCCTGTCCTGCCATCATCTGTTGAGCTTGGGCGAGTTGTTCAGCGTGTTGTTCACGCCGTCGCTGGTTCGCCTCTTGAATCGCCTGAACATATTCAGGGCTGGTCTGCGTGTAGGTTGGTGCTGTGTCTTCCCAAGATGCCAATCTTCGCAAGAGAATCTCGAATTTGCTTATGAAAGTCACAAATTCACCAGTATGCCGGCGATGATTGAAGAAACTGAGGAATCTGTAAAGGAACACATTCTGGGTGCCCTTGAGAAAGTATTGTCTCAATTCTGCATGTCGTGAGAAAATATTCAATTCCTTGTGTAGGATCAACAAGTTTGTTGTTGTCCAGGAGCCCTCTGTAAATAAGGGCATCATGGGTGAGTCGATTCTTCAACAACGGCCCTTGCCGATGAGTCTTGACTTGTTTGAATGTGACCTAGTCCCGTACCAGATCTTCATACCGGAACCAACTAACACGGCCATCAAACGATGGGGGCAATTTTGCATTCATCGAAAGATGATGTTCTCCTCATTGGTGGAGATATCTCCGACATGATGGCGGCCTGCGAAGGCCCATGCGGAATCTGTCATAGGGAAGTCTTCGTCGGTCGACATTCTTCCGGAAAACCTGCTCCGCTACCACGATTGAGGTTGGATTACCGGGGCCTCAATCGCGGCCCCAATAGATAATACCTCGTGGTTGCCCCTGAACCTATTCCGGTGAAGTCAAGTATAGAGGCCACGTAGTTGGTGAAAGAGATAAATGTTATAGATGCTGCAAGCACTCTTGCTTGACCGCAAGGTAAGGTAGTGTCAGTACACACCAGGCCTGTACATATGGTTGTGAACCAAATGGCAGCGGAACGCACATGTTGCCTATGAGTGGAGTCTTGGTTCAACAAGAAGCAAAACAAGAAACAACCCCCCTGTACCCTACGTATCAGAGGTCGGGCGGGGGGGAGGGTTAGGGGGGGGTTATCCTCCATCCTCTTTTGGGTGTCCGACACGCCGAGCAATGTCGGCGGATACAGATACACAAGTTTGCCCTCCCGGAGACAAGGCTGAATGGCAAGGTTGTTAAAGGGTTCAAGGCGTTCGGCACGGCTCCCTACATGTTCCTGTTTTCAGAGCTCTGACAATGGCAGTGTCCTTGGAACCCACCGGTAAGTTGCCACTTTCGAAGGGCAAATCCTTGGCGTCTGCTGGTTTTTGAGATGCCGCTTTCGAAGATTGTGAGCATTTACTCCTTGGGCACTTTCGATGATCGCGACAGGGCTTGTTGTTGCAATGCATGTTTGATCACTTTCAATGTTGGTGCCACACTCAAACGGCGTAACCTGACCCTTGACCAACAAAAGAGCAGTACACTGACACCCCTCAGATCAAACTGGTGACGTGGACCGAGGGTCAACACGCAATGGTTTGCCTCAATCGCCATTAGATCGCCTTGTCGCATCAATGCCTAAGTATGTTCAGCTTGAGAAGGCGTTCGATTTAACCATCCACACGCCTTGTTGCCGTTTTACGTCACGTGTGTGGAGCAAAGGTCGTGGCATGTATGTGCA